GTTTTTTAATACAATGGAGTACTACTCTGACATAAAGAAGGATAAGCTTGAGACATTCCTAGCTAAATGGATGCACCTTGAGAGCATACTCTTAAATGAAATAAATCAGACACGCACGTTTAAATGCCACATTATTTTTTTGTTGTGAGAAACTGAAAGGTAAATAAGAACCAAAATGTATAATAGATATTGGGAAAAGGGAGGAAAATGTTCAAATGAGAAGGGGAACAAGGCGGGCGGGAGAAGGAAGGAACAACAGAAAAAAGAATAGAAAGAAAAAATGGAAGCAAAGCTTTTGTAAATAAGGAGAAGAAGAGGGGTTAAAGGGAGGGGAGGGGAATGGGAAAAAAGAAGCAAGAGATATCATGTACAGGTACAAATGCCCTATGATGCATAAGATCATTATGTACCAATTGTCTAAAATGTACCAAAAAAAATTCTTAATAGCCTTATAAAAATCTATAGTGAATGCTTACATTTTAAAAATTTATTACATCAGGGGCCAGGGATTTAGCTCAGAGGCACCACACGTGGCTTGCAAGTGCAAGGTCCTCAATTCCATACCCTGTACCAAAAAAAAAAACCTATTACATTAGGCTGGGTGTGGTGGCACATGCCTGTAATCCCAGCGCTTGGGAGCCTGAGGCAGGAGGATCACTGCAAGTTCCTAGGCCAGCCTGAGCTACATGGTAAATTCAAGACCAGCTCCAACTGCATAGTAAGACCTTGTCTCCAAAAAAAAATTATTACAATAAAAAACACATGGCCATTAATTCCCCCCCCCCAAATTCTTCCCCTTTCTTTGAACACGCTTATCTTTCTGTAGCAGTTTACATTTGTGACCATTTCTGTCTAGTAAAAATGTTATGCTGCGTCCTCATCCACTTTATTCCCTGGATCTGGCACCAAGTGACTTCTAGCTCTTCCCCAAAGACAAAATGACCATGAAGGAGAAACATTTTGAATCAATTCAAGACATGGAGGCAGCCATGACAGCGCAGGTAAAGATACTCGCGAAAGAGGACTTCCAGAATGGCTTCAGAAAGTGGCAAGAATGATAGGAGAAGTGTGTTCCAAGTGAATGGGGAGGATTTTGAGGGGGATTCATGGCCACATGCCTTTTTAAAAATTTCACACCTCCCACTGTCCTATACGTGGCAAGGAAGTTGGGAATGGTACCTGGAGCTCCCTGAGAAAACAGCCACTTGGCTTCTTGGATGGTGGGCTAGTTAGATTTGACTGTATCTGAAGAACCTTCCCTCACCGTCCAAAAAGCACCAATGGCTCCAGAAATCCGAGTCCAAATTGTATCCTTAAGTAGACCCCGTGCTCCCACCTGGGGTTGAGCTGGGTTAGGGGTCTGTACAGCCTTGGATCCTTTCATCCTGAACCTCCCAAAGCCAGAGTCAGGGGTTGTAGAAGCTCAGGGGACACAAGGGTTGCTGAGGAGCAGCTTTCTGCACAGTGCCCCCCTTTCTGCAGGCCGCTGACCTCCAAAGACAGACCCCAGATCCTCAGCAGTGGGGAAACTCCCTGACCAGAACCTTGGAGCCAGTGTGTGTGTCTTTTCTGTCTTGGGCCCTTTTGCGCTCAAGAAAAGTGTCCCTGGGTCCCTGGAAGGCTCTGCTCCCCAAAGCTGCAGCATTTCTACCGTGGCCATCCCTCCTGTCGCCGGTGATTTAGTCCGTCTGCTCAAAACACAATTCCGAGGCTTTTTCGTGGGCTGAGGTTGGACAGAGCTCAGCTCTGCTCACAGCTGCCCCAGCTTTTCCAGAGCCAGTGCACGGGGCAAGAGGCCAGCTCCCTGGGGGCCATCTGCCCTCTCCATTTTCCTGGCAGTGGTGGGTGCTGAGCTCCGTGTTGTGCCTGCAGCAAGGGCCGGGAGAGCAGGAGAGGATGGGGATGAGAAGGGACAGGGAGGGGCAGGAGGAGCGGTCTTCACTTGCCCCAGGTCTTCTATTGTGATTTTGGTTTTTGATTTTTGTTTTTGAGATAAGGTCTCGCTATGTAGTCCAGCCTGGGCTACAGAGTGAGTTCAAAGCCAGGCCGAACTGCATAGCAAGACCCTGCCTCAAAAAACACAACAACAAAAAATACCCGATGTCCAGTTAAACGTAAAATTCAGATGAATAACGAACACCTCTCTAGTCTGAGAAGTTTCATGCAGTATCAAGGGCATGCCCGGAATTCTTTACTGTGAATCAAGTTCTAGGCCAGCACAGGGTACAAAGTGAGTTCAGGCTAGCCTGAGTTACTGTACATATTGAAACTCTGTCTCAAAAAATAAAAGTAGCTCAAAATCAAACCAAAACAAAAAAAACAAAGGAAAAAAGGGTGACCAAGATCAGAGGCCTCGAATGGTCAGAAAACATGAGCAGGAGCAGGGCAGCTGGAGGGTGGCACCTGGCTGTCCCCACCTGCATATCCTGGCCTGGCTCTCTGGCAACCGTCTTGTTCCTGCGGAGAGCAAGGGTACCACGTTTTCCACTCTGGGGCAGCTGGTGGGCTGGCTGCTGCTTATTGTCACTGCTGCTCCACAGCACTTTTTTTAAAATTGATTTTTGTTTTTTGCTTTGGTCTTTTGAGATAGGGTCTCGCTATGTAGTTCAAGCTGACCTCTAACTCATGGCAATCCTCCTGCCTCGGCCTCCCGAGTGCCAGGATTACAGGTGTGCCACACCTCACCTGGCTCAGAAACCAGCTTGTAACCGACGCCTTCCCTCCCACAGGGGCAGCTTCTGCAGCGACAGTCCCCACCAGGGCAGGCCAGGGCCCTCCCTCAGTGCCTGGTCAATGTCAGCTGTCCTCCTTGTTCCCCCAGGAGGACTGTGGAGGTAGAAGAAGTTTCTAGAAGTCTCTAGAAGCAGCTTCCAGTCAGAGAGCAACAGCAAAGCCCACCCGGGTCTCCAGTCCTTGGCAGCAGGGCTGAGCACCACAGTGAGCTCAGCCTGGGCTCAGACTGCAGGGCTGCTGGGTTTGGACCCAGCGAGGGAGGCAGGGCAGCGGGAGTGGAGACACTGCTAGGCCAGGGCCAGAGAATCCTCCTCAGGCCTGCAAGGCTCAGAGGGAGGGACAGTGACGCCTGAGGTAATTACTGTGCACCTGAGTCCCAGGATTCCAGGCGGCCTCAGAGCTGCTCTAACTGCCTCCCAAGAGGAGATCGTAATTGTGATAGCAGCGCCCTGACACTGCTGCCGAAGTGAGAAGAGAAGCACCTTTCTTCTGGGTAGGCCTGTCACACTCCAGGTAGCAACTCCAGGCCCCAGCCTGGCCCAATTTCTCTCTTGCCTTCTTTCTTCCTTTTTTTATTGGTTTTATGAGACAGGTTCTCACTATGTGGCCTAGGCTGGCCTTGAACTCCTGTTGATCCTCCTGCCTCAGCCTCCTGAGTGCTGGGATTACAGGCGTGCACCACCATGCCTGGCCACACACGCTGCCATCAGCCCTGCTTTCCCAAGGAGGGAAGCAAACAACTCTCCCAACTCCTGAGCCGCTGTGTCTCTGGCCTGGAAAGCCACGGAGGCAGCTGTCACGCCAGCCCCAGAGCTGCGGGAAAAGGCAGGGCCCCCAGCCGGGGGTGAGGAGGCCCACAGAGGGGCGAGCTGGGGACCCGGCTGGAAATGCTGCTGTGGGACACGGCTGCCCCTCCAGCCAGGCCGGCCAGCAGAGGGAGGACGCCATGGACACGGCAACCACCATGTCCCCCGTCCCCTGCTGTGCTTCCCTTGCACAGGGCCGAACCAGATGGCCCCTTGGCCAAGGCTCCAAGGCCCCAGGCAGCGAGTCACTCAAGAACCTGAGGACCTGGGGCCAGGGGACAGACAGGGCTGGGGGTGGCCTCCATGGCCTAAATCAGGCCCCTTCCCCAGAGCCACAGGCAGCACAACCACCCATGTGAAGGAGAAAAGAGCTGATGGCTGCTAGGCAAGGTGGCATACGCCTGAAAGCCAGTACTCGGAAGGCTGAGGCGGGAGAGTCACCGTGAGTTTGAGGCCAACCCGGATGACACAGAGAGACCGTGTCTCAAACACCCAAAGGGGAGGGGGAGAGCTGGTGGCTGCACGGAGCAGCTGCCCCAGGCTCCCGCTGGCCATACTCTGCCCCTGTGGCTTTGCCATCCCAAGTTGGAGAGGCCTGTGGTTTTCCCTCAGCCACCAGGAGGTCCCGACTCCTCTCTGCCACCCGACCTGGGGTCCAGGCCTGGTCCCACGTGTGTGGGAGGGAGGGCTGGGCCACAGGAGGAGCCCTGCCTGCTTCCTGGGCCCTGCGCCTCGCCCTCCCCGAGGTGGAGCAACCCCTGGAGGCCCTGGGAAAGGGCTGGGCCAGGCCAGGACTCCCAGCAGAGGAGGCGCAGAGCTAGGCAGTTCCAGCTTGTGTCAGCCCTGCCGCCTCCTCTGTGTGGCCCTGGGCAGCCACCTGGCCTTGCCAGTGCTCAGCCTCGCCTCCGTCTGTGCCGTGGGGAACACAATGTGGACTTGTGAGAGTGAACCAAGACAAGCACAATGACCCCAGCGCTCAGGAGGCTGAGGCAGGAGGATCACTGTGAGTTCAAGGCCAGCCTGGGATACATGGAGAGAACCTGTCTCCAAAAACAAACAAACAAACAAACAAACAAACACCAACAGGATGCCTCCCAGCTGCACTCAGTGCCGCGCAGACATCAGGTGGCCACTAAGTGATGCTGTGTCTTTGTTGCTATCACTATCCCCGGCCCGTGCTTCCAGAAATTCTGACGGCTGGCTGATTACAGCTCAGCATAAGGGACACGACCTGCTGATCAGAGGCCAGGCCCGCCTCCGGGGGCCCCGGCGGGCAGGGGCCAGCTGGAAGGGGCTCCCCAGGGGCCAGCCCCGCCCTCCCCGGCCGGCTCCACCCCGGCCACATGAAGCCGATCACGGAGGCATCGCATGTGGGCAGGGCCCGGGCAGCCTGACACCCGGGACAGCCGGCCAAGGCCACTCCCCGGGAGCCACCTCGAATTAAGGACTCCGACGCAAGAGGCTCATCGTTCCAGAGGAGGGCAGAGGTGGAGTCAGACGGGCCGAGCCGGTGCAGCCACGGGGTCAGAAAGGAGCAGCACCACCTGGCGCTGGCACTGGACCCGGCTTCAAGAGGCGCCGCCTGCAAGGGAGGGCGGGTGTAGGGCAGGGCGAGGAGTGTAGCCCGACCCGGGAGGTCAGCGGGGCAGGGCCAAGGAGGGGGTGTGTCCCGGGGAGCAGGGAGCTGGGAGGCGCCAGGCCAGGAGCCAGCATTCACGCTGTCAATCACTTATCCCCTCAAGGAACAAGCGTGCTGGGCGCCAACTGTCTGCTGAGCATCTGGCGGGCTCCGGACACCAAGGTGAATGAGGCATGTTCCTGCCCTTAGTGGTGAGGACACCATGACGTGTGTTCTTTGTTTTGCTTTTTTTTTTTGGAGACAGGGTATGTGTAGTCCAGCTATGTAGTCCAGCTAGCCTGGAACTCACTATGGAGCTCAGGCTGGCCTCAAACTCACGGTGATCCTCCTGCCTCGGCCTCTCGAGTGCTGGGATTACAGGTGTGTGCCACCGAACCTGGCCTGGCAGTCATTTCAGGTAAGAACTCACACTCTGCCAGCTTTGTTCATTCACTGAGTGTTTAGGGTTGGCACAAGGAACTCCATTTTGATTCTGACAACTCGAGCTTCCCTCACAGTATTAAGAAACCCATTTTACAGACGAGGAGACAGAGGCCCAAAGAAGGAGATAAGATCCCAGGGCCGCCATCAGTTCAGGGCGTCTTTCCACCAAATGCTGCGGAAGCTGAGGGGGGACCAACAAGCCCCAAGCCCCACCTCATCCTCTACATGGGGACCTGTGAGTGTCCTGCACAGGCTTCTAATCTGGTTCCTTGAGCTGAGCATGGTGGTACACACCTGTAATCCCAGCCCTCAGGAGGCTGAGGCAGGAGGATCTCTATAAATCCAACCAGCCTGGGCTACATAGCAAGTCCAGCCTGAACTGCACAGTGAGACCCTGTCTCAAAAAACAGAGAATAATAATAATGTTCTCCATCTTTAAATATCCACACAGTATTTGTTCAGTGAAAGCATAAGAAAATTCAAGCCTTTTTTCCATAAGTCTCTTTTTTTCTTTCTTTTGTGTGTGTGTGTGTGTGTGTGCGCGCGTGTGTGGAACCACATATTGAACAAGGGCCTTCACACTGAGCTACATCCCCACCCTTTTTATTTTTTATTTTTGTGACAGGGCCTTGCTAAATTGCCCAGGCTGGGCTGAACTTTCCATCCTCTCTAAGCCTCCCAAGGTGACAGGATTACAGGTAGGCCGCACCATACCCGGCCTCTCAGTAAATCTTTAAGGGTCAAAAATAAGAGATTTCTGACATACACTGGGTGGAACAAAACAGCTTAAGCAAACCCAGTTAACCCCTCTTTGCCATCTTTCCACCACCCCAAGCATTAGTCACTCGCACACATTAGTGAGGCAACTTGCATAATTACAGAAACTGAGTCTTATTCAAAATGTGTTTGCAAATGTTTTTCCCAGCATTCCTGTCAGCAAAATATTTTCCAGTTTTTTGTGGTTGCTCATTTTTGTTTTCTTGTGCAGTTTTGCAATTTGGTGACTTCTCAGAAGATAGCTTCGAGCTGTAAGAAACTAAAACTGGGTTTGACAATGAAGTGCATTGTTCTGGGATCCAGGTCTTCCGGGCAGCCCAGGTCAGCGGCTCAAGCCCCGCTCCCAGCAACCCTTGCGGCTGCACTTCCGGAACCAGAAGGTGGAAACAACACATGTCCACCTGGAGGAATGGATGAATAGATAAACAAAAGGTAGTGTATAGAATCAACCTTTAAATAACAAAGAGAGACTCTAAAAACTGATGATAGCTGGACATAGTGGCATGTGCCTGTCATTCCAGCACTCTGGGAGGCTGAGGTAGGAGGATCCCAAGTTTGAGCCTAGCCAGGGCTACTTAGTAACTTAGCAAGACCTTGTCTCAAAATAAAAAGTTAAAAAGGGGTGAGGATGTAGAGTAGTGTAAAGCCCCTGGGTTCAGTCCCAAGGACACAGAGAGAGAAAGAGAGAGAGAGAGGCCATTTCTTTGTGGATAAGCAAGGACCGCTGCATACATACCTTGGAATATTATTCACCCTTAAAAAGGGAGGGAATTCTGACGGGTGCGATCCATGGCTGACTCTTGTACACATTATGCCAAGTGACATAAGGCAGTCACAAAAGGACAAACACCAGGTGACCTCCACTTCCCCAGGAATGGAGGAGCCAGAGCCATGAGACAGGAAGAAGGATGGCGCATCAAGAGCTGAGGAGAGGGGAGATTGAGGAGTTCGAATTTAATGGGCCCAGAATTTGAGTTTGGGAAGACGGAAAAAGTTCTGGAGATAGACAGTGGTGATGGTCATACAACAGTGTGAATGAACTCAATCCCACTGAACTTCATGCTTCCAGTGGCTATGGTGGTAAAGTTCATGCAAATCATTACCACAGTTTTAAAAATGGCGACTGTGGCCTGGGGTTCTCACCACAGGCCCTCCTTTAGGGGAAAGAATGCTCAGTAGTAAATCAGCCTCTCATTAGGGTCGCATTCTCTCCTTCCTAAATCATCCCTGTGGCCAGGAAAATTGTTCCTTACTGATTGTTGGAGGCCTGGGCTCCTGAGCCCCCAGTCACCACAACAAAGGGCTTGGGGTGACTCGGATCAAGGAAGCCACCTTCAGGTAGGTGAGGTGAGGTTCACCTCCCCAGGCCCTGAATTAGTGGGAAGTAGCAGGAGGAGCAAAGGGGGCCCTGGTGAGGCAGAGACTGCTGGCCACCTTCCAGGGTCCGTTCCCAGCTCTTCCCGGACTCCAAAGCAGATCCAGTCTCCTCCAGCTTGCCCTGGGCCTACACCCCGAGGAGCGGCCACCTCCCCCAGCTTGGGCGGGAGGAAGGCAGGTCACGGGGGGCACCCTTGGCAGGAGTATCGGCACCCTGACACCTTCTTCCTCTCCACCCAGTGCTGCTATCAGGATGCTCTGTGGCCAAGCCCAAAGCAACCACAAACAGAAACCTCTGGAACTGGGAGCCAAAATCCACCTTTCCTCTTTTTAAATTGATCCATCTCGGGTGTTTGTTACAACAGCAGAAAGCTGACTTTCACAAGTGCTTTCACTGGAGCAGGACTGAGTCCAGTAGTCTCACGAAGAACTGCACAGGGCTCCACTCCCACCTTGGCCACCACTCGCTCCTGAACCTGCTTTTTGGGCGTGAGGAGGCCAAGACCCTGCGTGGGAGCTCCTGCACCTGCTGGGGCCTCCAAGTGCAAGGTTGTCTCCCAGTGCTGTCCCACCATGGACAAGCTCTTCTTCGTGCCCAAAGAGATCCTGCAGCAGGGTGTGCTGGTGCATGCCTGTAATCTCAGCACGCAAGAGGCTGAGGCAGGAGGATCACCATGAGTTTGAGGCCAGCCTGGCCTACATAGTGAAATTCTGCCTCAAAAATACACACAAAATAAATAAATGAATAAAGAGAGAGAGAGAGAGAGAGAGAGAGAGAGAGAGAGAGAGAGACAGACAGAGAGAAACAGAGAGACAGAGAGAGATCCTGCAGATCAGGCAGCTGGACCTAGACTAGAAGACTAAGACCAACATCAGGGCATTGAGAAGTCTGAGAGTTTCCTGCCTGGCACTGTCCTGGCACCAGAGGGTGGTGCTCTGGACCTGGAGGCCCTGCTGGAGCCCATGTGGGTGTAGCAGCTGGCTGGAAAGCCCCGCCTCCACGGTCACCTTGGGGATGAGGACCTCACTGCGACAGCATGGAGACCCCAGCTCTTCCAGGAACTAAACCACACCTGGACCCGGATGCTCTGCCCTGGCGGTGGGACCACGGCTAAGTGACATCTTCAAGGCCTGTGTCCGTTGAGGGCCCCCATGAGCTCTACTGTGGGAACAGTGACACCCTAGACGTGGAGGGGGTGTCTCTGAGACAGGCACCAGAGCGGTGCTCACCACTCTAGGGACTGCAGGGAGGACCTCGGGGTCCAGGGCTGCAGGTCTCAGCCGGCTGGCCCTGCCCGTGATGCCTTTGCTCCCAAGGAATCAAAAGCCTCTTAAAAACGGGGCCTCCTTGGACCAAATGTAAATCTGCCTCAGGTCGACAGACTTGTGTTTTGGGAGAAAGAACACACAGCAGTGCGGCAGCTCCAGTGAGTAAGCGAGCCAGACTCCCATCAAGCAGCTGGGTCTCAGCACCCCGAGGAGCCCCGGCCTCCTCATCCTCCCTGGGGGCCATGCGTGTCCTCTCAGATGACACACGCTTGTCGCAGGCTTCAAGCCTCTGTGTGGGGGTCCCAGGGCAGTGGGGGCCCATTAGCCGTCTCCTTACTGCAGCACCCACAGCTCTTTATCTCCCAGTTACATCACAGAGCCCCAGTACCCCTCATCCCTTATGCAGCCGAGCCAGCCTGGGTGACCCGACCACTCAGAAACAAGTCCATCACCACCAAGAGCAGCAACTGGCCACTCCGAGGCCATTCAGTGAAACTGTCGGGACTGGGAAGACGGGTTCCAAAGAGCCCAGCTGTTCATGAGCACAAGGCTTACCATCAATCTAGTCTTTCTGTTTAAAAAAATCATCCTTGTGCTTCCCCGGGTATGCCTTGTAGAAATCAGGGCATCATTTCCTTATTTCTCCTTGTGCTGGGTTCTCTGGTAAATAAGCTGCAAACCAGAAGCCCATGGGCTCCCTCACGTTTATGGTCCAGCTGACGTCTGGGGCCAGAGATGTTGTGGAATGTTTTTTTAATCTCATTTTATTTCAGTTACTTTTTAATTTCTTTTCACCATGGTGAGAAGAGCTAATAAGTAATCTTTGAGAACACACACACACACACACACACACACGAGAAAGAGAGAGAGACTCTCGGGCACTTTACAGGACAAGTGTGCTGGTCCTGCCTACCTGGTCACTGGCTCTTTGTTAGAGCATCCTGGCCTTCCCTTAGCTAATGGAGGAACAATCCACACTGTGCCACCAGAGCAGCATGAGTGTGTGCATTCAGAGGAGGAAGCCCTTATCCAGGAAACAGCCACAGAGGACGGCCCACCTCAGTGACTGTCAGCTTCCGAAATGGTGGTCCAGGCAGCCTACAGGAAAATCTTCAGTAGGAAGAAGCATTTTATTCCTCCTCTGTGACCTTGCTTTCTTCAGCAGAAGTGGGAGCGGCTTCCAGTCATGGGAAGAGATATTTGTAGAAACTGAGTTAACTCGGTTTTGGGAACCAGGTCACACAGCAGCAGGTGAGCCATGACTGAGCAAGCAAAGCTCCCTCTACAGTCCTGCTCCCATTAGCAGGTGGTGGTTCTGTATCTGATTTGTGAACTGCATGTGTCCAGGAGTGGGGTTGCAGCTCCATGTGAGAATCCAATCCTGAGGATCTGAGAGGAAGCTGAGGCGGGGATGCTGGCACTGAGCAGCTGCAAACACAGATGAACACCAGCAGAGGGGTTTGGCTGTGCATGGCCCATAATAAATCAATTGCTTGCAGACCCATATCAGTGAATGGCAAGTGACAATTCAACTACATCTGGTGGCCAAAACTGAGATTGTGGGGGAGACAGGAACAGGCACCCACCATCACCCTCAGGAGGAATCATCTGCAGGAAAATGAGCTCAGGCTCCCACTGATTCTACTCCATGGTGAGCCATGAAATTATTTCATTATTACACCATACTAATAGAAAAAAATGCACAGTAAACGTAATATGCTCCAGTCATTCCAGAACAAAGTGTCTTCCACGGGACCAGCCCCTGAGGACCAGTGAGTTAACTGATCCCACACCTACTTCACCTGTGTTCGGACTCCCTTCGAGACTGGCACCCTAGGAAGCAGCAGCCAGACCCCACCATGGCCCAGGCCCTGTGCGATGCTTCTCCCAGCCCGGCCTCTGCCTGCTCCACCTGGCTGTGGCTGTCAGGGGTCCCCGAGCACAGGGCCAGAGTCCTGCTGGCCCCGAGGCTTCTCACGATACAGGACCTTTTCTCTCTCCCTGGGGACAATCCTGACATCAACAGCAGCAGGCCTCTCCTGGGCTGTCACAGATGTGGCACAAGACCCTGCAGAACAAAGGCTTTGGTGCCGTGATCACTTCAGGCTCTGAAGGCCAAATCAGATAACCCGAGCGTGTGGTGCCAGGAGGCCTTAGTGAGAAGCCAGCCAGCAGGAAGTGACGTCGGCTGCACCAGGATTCCGAGTTCCCTCAAGCAGAGCCCAGAGTCTGCGGTGTGGGGAGGGTGTGAGGAGGAGGAGAAGCAGGCTGTCCTGCGGCTTCCTGGCCAGATAGCGGAGGCGACCGTCCCAGGGAAGCTATTTCAGGCCTCATCTGTGTTTGAACCTTGAACTTCTTTTTTAAAGACACTTTTACTGAGGTATGACTGACAAAAATATTGCAGGTTTAAAGTGTACACCTTACCATTATGAGATTCATACACATGGTGAAATGATCAACACAGGAAGCTAATTAACAGGTTCATGTCACAGTTATCAGGTTCTTCACTGTGTGCCCATGCGTGCGTGTGTGTGTGTGTGTGTGCGCGTGTGTAAGAACATTCGCAATCTACCGTTACTGCTGTAATAGAGCAGTGTTAACTCTGCTCAGCACATTGTGCCTTAGATCTGCAAAACGTACTGATCTTTGACAACTGAAATTTTGTACCACCCCTACCCCATCTTCTCTAACCCTGCTAATCAGTTCTCTGCTCTCTACTTTGTTTGTTTTTTTGAGACAGGATCTCACTATGTAGTTTAGCCTGGCCTGGAGCTCATGGAGATGCTTCTGCCTCCTTTTCCTGAGTGCTGGACAGGTGCCGCCATACCCAACTCTACTCTCTACTTCTATGAATTCACCTTTTTAAGTAATTTCCCATATCAGTGAGATCGTGTGGTGTTTGTCTTTCTGTGCCTGGATTACTTTACTTGGGATCCAAATGGATCTATCCATGTGGCCCATTCTTGGGTCCATCCATGTGGTCAAAAGTGGCAGGACTTCCTTCTTTTTCAAGGCCAAATAATATTCCATTGTATGTATATGCCGCATCTTTTGTGTGGTTTTTTTTGTTGTTGTTGTTGTTTTGGGTTTTTTTGGTACCAGGGATTGAACTCAGGACCTTGTGCTTACGGAGCAGGCAGTAGGACCTCTGAACTTTTCCCCAGCCCTATGCCACATCTTTTAAAAAGCCATTCACTGGACCTTGGACGTTTGAATGGTTTACCCTCTTAACCAAGACAAATGCTCTAGCCTGACTCAGCTTCTGGAAAACCCCATTTGAAGCTGCCCAGAAGGGCCTGGCTACCCTTCTCCCGAGACCGGGCTGGGTGGGCTCCATTCAGTCCCTGTCCCCACCCCACTCCCAGTGTCCCACCATAAATCCATCGCTAGGTGTACTGAGCGCCTGTCACACGCAGTGCTAGGTTACTCTGTCTTCTCGCGGGCTGTCTGGGTCAGGCAAGGTCTGGTCCCCCGGGTGCCCTGTCCCCTCCTGGTGGCCCACACCAGGCCTGCTGCGCAGAGCTCCCCGCCCGGTGCACATCGCTCTGTGCCCAGTGGATGAGGAGGCCCACCCGGGACTCCGTGGGCCACACGGGACGGGCTTCGCTGGGTCCTGGCGCTGGTGCCCACAGCGGGGCACCCTGGTTCGGACTTCTGGGAGGCCCCGGTGCGGCCGGTGCAGAACAGGCCAGCGCCACGCCCTCCGGCTGGCCCAGCGCAGCGTCCTGCGCAGGGCAGGGGCACAGCGGGCCTCCGCCGGCTCTTCCTCCCAGCGCTTCTCTGGGTGTGGGGAGGCCTCAGGGACGCCAGACTACGCTGCTGGGAATCTCCGGCTCCCAGCGCTGGGGACACCGGGGACTTTGACCTCTCAGGAAAGCCTGAGACGAAGTTGGCTGCCTCAGGCCTGGGCCTGGGGACAAATGTCACCTTACTGCCCCTGCTTGTAGCAGGCCCTGCCAAACAGCAAGGCTGAACCTGTGGACTGGACCTGACCGAGGCAGCGGGCACCTGAGGATGGATGGCTGCCCACGGGTCTCCAGCCCTTTCCTGGAAAACAAAGCCATGCTCATTTTATATTCTCCCAATTTTGTTTGGATTTGTTTAATAGTAACATCCAGCCGGGCTTGGTGGTGCATGCCTGTGATCCCAGCGTTTGGGAGGCTGAGACAGGAGGATTGCAAGTTTGAATTCCACCTGGGCAACTTAGCAAGGGGTGGAGATGTAGCTCAGTGCAAAGGTCCTTGTTTCACACCCTTGTACTGCAATAATAATAATAATAATAATAGTAATAAATGTAACATATAGGAGATTATTCAAGTAAGATGTAGCCATGGTGTTGAATGGTCTATTTGCAGAACCCTCAGACTCAGCCAAAGCATGGTAGGTAGCACACACCTGTAATCC